TCTTCCAAGGACCTGAGGCTAGATTTGGACAATCTGAAGGACTAGGCAGCCATGGCATGGCTGCTGGCATGCTACACAGGTCTCTTGCATGCATGTTTTTGTCTTGTCTATGGTGTTTTCAATTCATCCAGAAAGATGCAGGAGTTGATGTTGTCCACCTCTGTACTCAGCCATCAAAGGGGATGATGGATGCTCCTCTTCTTGGGCAGTTTTACACATCTACTACTCTCCCTCTCGTTTTTGATTTAAATCAGGAACCATTCAACAAATCCGCCCCATGGATCGACAGAATTTATGAGGCAACAGTCAAACACCATGAAGAGGGCTTAGAAAAGCCCTTCTCAAGTCTGATAGCTGAGAAAATCCTTACAAAGGGCTAAAAAGGCAGATCTTTAGGTTTCTTTTAATAATTTATGACCTACAGGTGTCCCAAAGGCTTGGAATCATGTCCATAAATTGCAGAAATATATCTCTGGAAGGTCACGTGCTGTGCATTCAAGGCCTGGGCAATTTAAGATCTAAAATATCCAAGATACTACTCCTTAAAAAGACATTTCCTTCAGGGAAAGAAAAGGGAAAAGAAGGGTACAATATGTTTTTGACTTGGGTCCAAATCAAGGGAGGGAAATAACATACTTTCTTCTTTAGAAGAGCCACTCAAAAGGAGTCACTGGGGCAGTTACTCTATTTAAAACATAATTGGGCAGTGTCATAGCAGTTGGTGTAATTGAGAGAAGGGCCCTGTTGCAGCAGGTAAGAAGTTGGGCTTCATAACCTTGTTATTTATTTCTGTCTTCTATAATAACACAGTCTGGTTTATCCGTAATTAGACTCTTCCTGGCTCCCCTTGGCTGATGGCAAGATATCAAGATAATCAAGAATCTGAAATTAATGACTTTAGAAAGACTGCTTATCATCCGTGTTCAAATCTACTCAGGTAGAGGAGGGAGCTAAATCCACAGTTCCCATATATCCTTGTTGTAAGAAGAAGAAGGGAATTTAAAAAAAAAAAAAAAAAAAAAGGCAACCAAAACCCTTACACCAAAAGGGGAAAAAAAAAAAAAAAAGCTTTTTTTCTAGGTAAATAATTCCATTACTGAGATATTGAGAAAATTTTAAGTCATTCTTCCAGAATGGTGATTTAGTCCTTAAACCAGAGAAAAAATTGAAGCCTATATTTAGAAAGCCAGCATTTCTACAGACCTACAGATACTGATCTTGCATAAATGTAGAAGTAAATGAACTGAGATATGAGAAAATACATAGCGCCTATCTGAGATCAGGAGCTGGGGAGTCTGGAAATGATTAAATTTGCTCGGGGAGTCTAAATATATTAGGTTGAACATCAGTATCTCAAAGTAAACAGAAGCAGGATAATAAGACATGGAGGAAAAACTTTAAATTTCATTCACAGCAATTCACATGTTTACCAGACTCTCGGTGGTGAGCTCTAAAAATCTAAGATGTCAGGAACAAGTTCCTTGAAATTGCAGTTGAGAAGTCTCTAAACTGCCCTTTTTTTTTTTTTTCTCAAATGGACGCTGACTTCCCCTCCTAATCAATTTTGCTGAAGCCAGAGGCACTAGATGGGGGATTCATTCCTCCTTTATATCTCATACACAGATGCCAATCAGCAGTTTTTGTGGGGAAAACAACATTTAAAAGCATTAAAGTGAGATTATAAAAGTGACTGGCTTTTCCAGAGGAGGCACACGCAGTGTTTGCAATTTAGAGACCTTCTGACAGTCTTTCCCATTGCAATTACTGTCTCTTCAACCCTGAACACCCCACTGCAGTCAAATTTCAGTGGAAGGATAAACAAAAGTGGGATGTGAAGCGGGAGCAAAGCCAACTGCAGCAAAGCTTCACTGGTGGGGATGAATGCTGAGCTGGAATTCATGGCAAAGTATCTGCCTTGGGCAAGCCATGTAAATGTATTTTATCCAGAAATGGACAAAATTTCTGGATAAATTTTTTTTATTTAAAAAGGGGGCAGGTTGGCTGATTTCTTGCTGGGACCAGGTGATATCTGAAAGCAAAAAAAGCCTTTTGATCATTAGTTCCCTTAACTAGCCCACAGATGTTAAAGGCACCTAATGTGAGTCAAAACAGACTGATGCTGTCATTGAAGCTGATCATTAGGAAAATTAGGAAAAGAACATCAATTATAGTTCAAATATTCTGCATGTGAGAAGCAATGGGTAGGTCAGTATGAGTCTGAGCTGTCTACAGACTATTGCCAGAAAACCGTTTCGTCTAAAAAAAGAAATATAAAAATAAGGAAAGAATGATCAACATCTGATGCTTCAAAGTAAAGGTAAATGCAAGCACATTTTTATTTAAAACCCAAAGCCCCCAAGCATCTGACAAAAAACATACATGACTCTTGACCCTTGACCCCACTACTCCTTCCCAAAAGATTTTAACCAGTGGCACAGCCAATTTATAAAAAATTATATATAGAGAGAGCAGGCATGTATACAAAGGATAGCTACAGCCTGGGATCCCAGCAGCAATAAATACTCTACCCACCCAACAAACTGTCATGCTGCATTGTGTGAAGTTTTAGATAGGATATGCCTTTCACATGACTAATGCAAGAACAATGAAGACAACATATGTTTTGGTTTAAACTACAGTTGTTCTTCTTCCTGGGTGGAAAAACAAACACATTTTTGCAGAACAAAACGTGAGTATATTGTTTGTGCAAGGCTTAACCCTGCAGCCAGCCAGGTCTGGCAAAAGTCCTATTAACTCTTATTTATAAGTGGAAAACAGTGATAGGAGGGAAAGAAGGAAAAAAAAAAAAAGGAGGTTGCAATGTGTATTTATGTTCATAAATATGAAGTATTTTTTCCAGGTTCTGGATGCATGTTTTGCTATTTTAGCTGACTTGTGGTGACTATCTGGGTACACGCCTTAAGCCCACAGCAAATTTAAACTAACTGAGCCTGTTTACTGCTTAGCCTAAGGCTAAACTCTGTTACTTCCCTTTGCTACTAACCCAGAGTGTGCAGACAGCAATTACTGTAGCTCAGCTGCAATGTGGGAACTCCCCAGCTCATATCAACGACAGCATCCCTGCCGTGGAGAAGACGAGCCATGATCACTTGAGTAAGAAGGAAAAGGCAGCAAAACAACCTCAATTAACAGAATTCACTTGTCACACAGAGGAGCAGATCCATGGGGCTCGTCGCCATGGGTGCTAAATGTCTCCTGGAGAAGACAAAAATGATATCCAGTTGAGGAGATGTGTGAGCTGCACATAGCAAGATGCAGAGGTCTGGGCGAGGATTACACACACCCACTCAGTTTATCCTCTTCCCTGGGCACCCAGTGGTGCTGTTGTTGGAAACAGTTGCTGGGCTCAGCAGATCCTCGGTCTGATACAGTTCTCATCTTCCTACCTCCCAGCCTCTTCATGTGCCTGAGCCCTAAGGATAAGCTCTGATCTGGTGGGTGTATTTCATTCTGCTAACACAACCAGTCACTGGGGACCCACCGCGTCTCTTGAGGAAAAGGTTCTTTTTGTAAACATTTTGTCTGGTAATAGAGTTGAAAACAAATCTGTAAGTCCGTGTTGATTTCTTGTTGTTCTCAGAAGGACATCCAAAACACCCTTGCAACTGCAGAGATGCCTGTTTGCTGGGATAAAACTCTAGTGGGCATCTTGATAGCCCTGTCCATTTCTGAGTCTAAACTGTAGATTTAAAGGATTAAGTGTTTTGGAAACTAAAACCAGGTACAGGAGCTCCCTTGCTGCATTCAGCACAGCTTATGTAACGTGATACTACAAACATTGATCAACTAAATTGTTGTGGGAGAGATAAGTACAAGCCCAAAACTTGCAGTGGCTGGGAACAAACAAACACGTTGGGTGGGTGGCTGCATATCCCATATTGCACAACAGACAGAGGCTACAATAAGATTTTCTTTTCCTTTTTCTTTTTTTTTTTTTTTTAATTGAAAATAACTTCCAGTTGGAAAGTCTGATCCAGAAGTAGTGCCTTTCATTAATGTTGCATGAGAAGCAGCCTTCCCCATTTGCCACAGCTTGGAGAAGTCAAGAAGATGGTGGCCAGGGCATGTCCATGCTGACATACAACCCCAGCCCAGCCATAAACCAGCAGCTTCACTACAACCAGGTAACAACTGGGTGGTGCTGGTGCCATTTCTCCCAGGACTTTGATGAACACTACTGCCCAAACTGCCTTGTTAATATGGACCAAGTGGTTCTACAGGAGCCACCAAGCTTTACCTTAGGGCTGCCATTAGCAAGCAAGTAGTTGTTAATGCAAGATCACCTCTTTTAGATGAAGATGGGATGAGATGTCACCACATCTCAGTGGTGAGTGATGCATTTGTTACAAGATGCTGCTTGGTGCCTGAATAACAACACAAATGACTGAGTGCTGCTCTGCTGCTTGTGAAACCAGTTAGGGTGTCCAGCAGCAGGGAAATGTCAGAGTCTCTCTCAGCAGGGCACTACTCGCTGGCTGATGTAGTGATTTTAACAAAGACAGACACAGATCTTTATTCCTATCTTCTGAAGCTCACTATGTTATGCCAGGCTGCATTACCCCATGTGTCAGTGCCAGGCTGATAGGATTAAATTGCTAGGAAAGTGCTAGTTTTCACTGGCCTGTGAAAAAGGTATTGCATTAGCAGAGCCAGTGTGTTGGGATAACAGGTGGGATGGCTTTGCTTTGGAGGAGCTATCATTATCCATGCTGCAGTGGTGGCTGTAAGTTCAGGAGGAAGCTGGAGACCCATCAGAGCAGATACTACACCCTTGTGCAGTGGGACTGTCTCCTCCATAAAGAGGGTATGTCGAGACAGGTGAACTGGGAAACACCACCCAGGTAAAACTCCTGAGGTTACCCAGGAGTGGAGTTGGGAACAGTGCCCTTGGCCTGCTCCTTAGTCATGGAGAAGGTTGTGATTCCTCAAGTGAAAATGCTGTCCCAACCTCTCTGACCTCCCCCAGTCACAGCTCTGACCTTTGTTGTCGTGCCAGATCCTCACTTTGCAGAGATCTCCCAAGCTCAGCATGTCCGAGAAGTTGAATTCATCCATCTGGTTCCTCTCAAACTTGTTAGACTTGTTGGACTCCTTCAGAGCAAGAGTCCCGCTGTCCCCGTTCTCCCCAAACAGGATCAAGGACACGTTGGCGTCGGTGCCTGCTCCTGGAAGGAGGGAATAAAGCAAATTCTTACGAGCTAGCCTGCTGCAGAGGGCTGACACCCAGCCTCCAATTGCATGGAGGCAGGCTGGAAGAGGCTGCAGTGACATCAGGCTCATCTCTCTGGGCACAGCAAGCAAATTGCAGTGAATATGTGCAGGATCCTACGAAAAGGACACCCCATGGTAGCCAACAAGCCAACCCTTCTACCCTGCAGCCCAGGTATAGCTGGAATACTTCACCCTTGGATTCAAGGTATGGTGACCATACTGACAGCACTACCAATAGTGAGCAGGAGGTGCTCTTGATGGAGCACCATGCATCACATCACTTCGCAGAGGATGTCAGTGTTGTGACTCCCAGTGCTCCAAGGTGTCCTAGGATGCAGATTGACTTACCCACCATCATCTAGCAATCTATGAGTCATTGAGTCAGAGAATCATACAATGGTTTGGCTTGGAAGGGATCTTAAAGATCATCTCGTTCCAACCCCTCAGCCATGGGCAGGGTCGCCTCCCACTAGACCAGGTTGCTCAAAGCCCCATCCAACCTGGTCTTGAAAACATCCAGAACAGTGCATCCACAGCTTCCCTGGGCAACCAGTTCTAGTGTTTCACCATCCTCATAATGAGGAACTTCTTCTAATTTCTAACCTAAACCTACTGTCTTCCAGTTTGAACCCATGATCACTTGTCCTATCACTACAAACCCTTGTAAAAAGTTCCTCCCTATCTTTCTTGTAGGCCCCCTTCAGACACTGTGCTCGTGTGTTGTTGGCTTACATTGAAAGACCATTAGAGAATACATTTTAACTTTTCTAACTAGAAAGTATGAGGACACATTGTCCTGGGATTCCCACTGGGCCACAGCCCCTTTTCCACACTGTGGTGTCCTTCTGGTGTCCCTTTAGATTCTCCTGTGGCACCCAGGACACGCCAGCTGAGGTGCTGCTCTCCCTGTGTTGTACAGCACAAGGATCTGAAAGCAAAATGTGGATCAGCAGCCAAACTACAGCAGCATCTTATCGTCCACTTTCCCCTCTCTTAGGTCCTCCTTCTATATTCCTGTTTCTCAAAATATTGTCGTTGCTGCATTTAATGGAAAAAATCCCAGTTTCTCATACAACCGCTTGCCCAACAAACTCCCATCTCTTCTTAGGAAAAGAATAATTTCTGAGATGATCTTTATTACCTCATAATGAATTTTGCATGCCCACTGCTGTCCGTATTTTGCCACAGAAAACAACCATGCTGTCAATTTTCCTAACTTCCAGAGAATTCGAGGCCACACCATCACTTGCAGTGACCCTATGGAAATTTTGGCTGAAACTGTTGCAACGTTCACACCAGCACTATTTATAATTTGACCAACGTTATTCCTTCTTATTTTTGCTGCCAGAGTAAAAAAAAAGTTTCATAGAAAGAAATTGGATTCCATGTGGGCAGGCAGACATTCATTGTGTCAGAACAAAAGCCCTTAAATTTTGGAAAATGAAAATAGGATCATCAAACCCAAATCTGTCCTAACACAGCATCCGCTGCCCTCGGTTAGATAACCCAGCTTTGAAAACTCTAAACTCCTGCCAAGCCATTTCTCACACAAGAGTATGGAAAATCCACTTTGGGACACACAGGCAGTATTTCCCACAGCTCTGCTCACAACACAACGCTGAGAGAAATTCGGGGGGAATGAAAACTTTTTGACAAGCTTTGGGATAATGAGTTGAACACAGAAATTAGGAAGAAATCACAGCTCTCCTTATAGAAGGACTGAAAAAAATGCTAAAAGGGAAAGAAAAAAGAGAGAAGAAAAAGATTCATACATAGAAAAGGCAAAGCAATATTTGGTGTCCACGTGAAAAAATTGCTTATGTTAAATTTGGGCTCATTTTCAGCAGTTCCCTGGGAAGGACTTAAGAAGGAAGGGAAAGCATCAGGGATTCAGACGGTTCATCTGGCAGTACCTTTCATGACCCTAAAGCTTGCTGAAGTGAGGAACAAAGCAAACTGAAGTCCATTTCCTTACAAGGAGCAAGCTCCCAATTAATGCTGGGTCTCAAAAAGCACAGAACCAACTGTTTCTAAGCAAAACCTTCCCTGCAGGAAGAAGCTTATGAAGGCCTCATGCCGTGACATTTCCCTCACAGGCAATTAGCAGGAGATGGAAAAGAAATGAACAGAAATTGCTGAATCAATTCACATTTCACCTATTTGGGTCTCTGATTTTTTTTTTTTTTTGTTGTTGTTGTTGCTAATTCCAGGAAACTGTCAGGCACATTTAGAAACTGTAACGAATCTGACAAATGAAGGGATGAAGGTGCTGTGGTTTTAGAAGCCTTAACTGGCAAGGAGTCCAATAGCTCATGGGTTGATCCTGAGGTCCATAGCACTGAAGTTCATCACCAACACCCTAAAAAATGACAGAGTGGATTTTCTGCAGATTTCCAGATATAATTAAATTTGAGGGAGGAACTGACATGCTGAATAGCAGAATTCCAACCCAGATGGACCTTGGGAAACTTAAGGACTAGGCAAGCAGAACTCTCACAAAGTTCAGCAAGGAGAAATGCATCTGGGGTGGAATAAAGCCTGGACGTGTATATGCTTGAGAGCAGAAGAAGACCCAAAGGTTGAATCACCAACATTCATATTCAGCTTTAATCTGAGCTAACAGCAAGTTCCCAGTGTCCAGTGCAAACTGCATCTTGGGCTACATTGTGAGGAGCATGGCCAGCAGCTGGAGGGAGGATCTTATGCCCTGTGCTCAGCACTGAGAAGCCCACACTTGGACTGTGCTGCCAGTTTGAATTCCTGGGTCATGTCAAGGCACTGGGGAGGGGTCAGCAGATGGTTGTGAGGATGGACAGGGTTTGGAGCACATGACCATGAGGAGAAGCCAAGGGAGACGAGCTGGGGCAGATGAACAAGAGCCCCTTGACCACACAGAAGGACAGTGATAGTGATGACAGGATCATGCACTCTGGAGATGTCAGACCATACTCCAAGGAACCACAGTCACAAGTTGATGGGCATCAGGAAAAAAAGTGATTCTTAGGAAAACAGTAGAAGTCTGGATCAAGTGCCTGGGGAGCTGGTGGCATCACCATCCCTGGAGATGTCCATGACCCATCTGGGCAGAATCATAGCTGATTTGACATTGTGCTTGCAATAGTCCTTTGAGCAGGAAGATGGATGAAATAACCTCCAGAGGCCCCTTCCAACAAAAGTGTCTATGATTTTATGATTCTTCCTGAGCAGCTGCATCATTTTTAAACAAACCGTAAGCTTGGCCTTCTGAGGTCAAAACATGTCCTTCTTCTGACTTCACAGACTTGGACTGGGCACTAGGAACTGACACCAACTGTCCTAAATTATGTGATTTGAAGGCTGAAGCTGTGCTGACAACACACTAATTAATCTTATAACAGCAGAGATAAAACCCTCCTGCTTCACTAATGCTTGCAAGGGGAGAAAGCACTATTTATTCTTCCTCTATCTTTATTGCATTACCATGTATAGGATGCCTGCATATAGAAAACAGGAAGTCTGTAAATCAGAATTAACAGGCCAGGACATTTTTGTGTCTCAGAAAGAGCCATCAGATGGTCCAGCTCTGTCTGTGAGTCATACCTTGAAGAAAGTGAGAGTGTGAGTTGGTTTTCCTGGAAGATCAAAAGTAATTCAAGATCTTGGTTTTAACCAAAGACTAAACATCTGACCTGGGATTTGTCTGCTCTAACAATGTCTTCTCCTCTTATCTGTGTGTACTTTAAGAGCTGCCATCTGAGGTACTTCTGGTGGCCCCTGGATTTTAGCTTTGAATGAGAAGAGACATGACCTTTGTTAGACCTTCCCTGACTCACCCTCTGTGTATTAAAAGATCATCAAAGCTGAATGACTTCTAGAAAGCTTTACTTTGTGAAAAAAGTGAAATTCCCAGATTAATTGACCAGAGACAGTCTAGGCCAGAAGGATTTAAGACCACAAGTATCATTTTTTTGAGAGTTACAAGTAGGTGAGATGAATCCTACCTTACATCTTCTTTGTTTGTTTCAATGCCTCTGTTGCATGGAAAGTTGAAAGCTATACAGAGGAGAACTTTATACCTAGAATGTAAACTTATCTGATTCTATTCACTGTGCAGAACTGGTGTCCCCAGACACTGTCAGTGTAGCAGGAGATAATATAACATGTTTAAACTCACCATCAAGGGTAGAAAGTCTTTTTTTTTCTGAATTGGTCCAATCAGGAGTGATCGTGGAATACATAATGATCAAAGAGGGGAGATGGTTCATGATTTGCACCCTCTTTAGATAAGCTGGATAAAGTTCAGCATTATGTCAGTGTGCTCTGTGATCTAATCGTAAACAGGCTCTCTGAAGCCTTTCTGTAACCTGCTCTTTCCTCCTGGTTGTGGCTGTTCATAATGAAATAAAATTTTTCATCATTAATACCTGTCATCCTTCATTCAATGGGAAGGACAGATCTGTCTGCTCTTGCTGTCATCTTCTGTTCTCCCCTCATTTCTGTTTCCATTGCCTTTGTGAGTGAGGGCTGGATTTCACAAAAAGGTCACAGAAAGATCTACCATTATAGTAGATGGATTGCCAGATACATAAACAAATCTTCCTCTTGCTCTTTTGTTTCTCGTATTTCACTACATGTTTTTCAGACAGGCAGCAGGCAGAGCAGATAGATAAAAAATGGTGAGGTGGCACGAAGACACTGCCAAGGGAATTTTGATATTCTCAGATCAAACCTCACAAGCTGCATAAATTACCACTTGTAAATCCAGAGGGGGAAAAAAATTTTAAAAAAAAAAAGAAAAATGAAAGAGAGGTAGAGATCAGGAGGTGATTATGTGCACTGCTGTGGCAGAATCCCCTTTGAGGGTCAACCTTTTGAACAAGGTGTCTGCAAGATCATGTCTAACCTGGCCCTCTGTGGCACAAGGCAGCTTGTATGTGGTCGCAGCTTTCATTCAGCAGCCTGACAGAAGTTCTCAGGAAAAGAGGCAGTGATCCCAAGAAATGACATAGAAATCCCATTTCTTGGCTCTCGAGGCTCTGCAGCTTTCTCTGTACTCTGTTCCACCTCTTCTATCTGGCATGCGTTTGGGGGTGGTTTTTCACAGCCAGAGAAAAACGTTCTCAAAACACTCTGAAAGTGAGTGTGAATTATTGCTGTCTTCTGTGGACACAGCAGATAGTGCTGACCAAAAATCTGAAGCCCACCAGCTTTGACCATAGCTTTTCTTCCATTCTGTGTGGGTGGACCTGGCACCCTTTTTATGACTCAAAATAAAAAGGGAGCTCCTGAATACTGCCACACAGTCTGGTAGCTTCTCTTAAGATGTCTTCAGAGAAAGTAGTGAGCAGTTAATTCTAGGCCTGGTGTCTAAACATTTTATGCCTAGAGCTTAGAAAAGGATGAATTCCACAGAATAACACTGTCATGATGAACAGCTAGCCAAAATGCTCGTGTCCCAACACAGCATGGCTAAATTATGCTTTTTTAAACATAATTTCAAATTAAGCTGGAGATTTTTTTCATTAGTCAAAATCAAAATTCATACGAAATAAGTCAGAAAATATCCATCATGGACATACCTCCAATATCACTAGTTTTAACCTGAAGAGTGTAGGTTGTGTCCTCCATCATTTGCTCATCATTTATGACAGCTGGCATCTCACACACAAGACTTCCCTTGGCATTTTTTAGCTTTGACAGCCATTCACCATAAGTAAACGTGGCCACTTCTTGATTAGTCAGGTTCTTCAGGATGATCTGTAAAGAGCAAAAATAAAGAAAAAAATTAAAATTCAGCTGCTGTTTCAGTGAGGCCAGAGGTTAAAGTTATAAAGTGCACAGTGTGGGAGGATATGGGTATAGCTTGGTCATTGCTTCAAAGCCTCTACCAATCTCGTCTGGGATAAACAGAACTCTCTCTTATGGACAATATTTGCTGCAGTGACTTGAAAAATGTTTTTCATAATATTGGACCTTCTCAGAGATGGGTTAAAGCATAGGAAGAAATGTGCTCCTCTGACGTAAGTTATGGACAAAGCTCATCTCTGAGAGTCAGACCTTTCCTGGAAGCCAGTATGGAACTCACTCCAAAGAAGAAGTAACAAGAAGTTATTAAAAACCCTCAAGTAGCACCCCTGAAGTACACAGTATCACACTCTCTCCTGCCTCCTCCTTGTAGAGATATGCAAACCAACCCCAAACATGTCAAAGCAGCACACAAGATAAAATTAGGCCAGCAAAACTTAATGTTTCACACACTTCTCCCTCTGGGAAGAGGTGACAGAACAAACAGTATGCAACAGATATTAGTCACTCTGTCTAATGTGTCATGGGAAGGAGCCCAAATGCTGTGGTGGTAAGAAGAGAATAGGAATCTATTTAGAACAAGCCAGTGAGCTGCTCCAACAAACACCTAGTGAAGCACCCACCTGTATGTGTCCTGTTCAACATGGGCTCAGTGGAGCATCACTGGGAGAAAGGCACTGTAGCAAAAAACTAGCACTAAATTATCACTAATTTAACTGGAGGAGCTGGGGGGAAAGAGGAGATGGGGCTGCAAAGTGCCACGTGTGTTAGCATCTGACAGAAACAGAGACCACACGTGAGTGAAGCAGGGCATCAGCAGTGTCTTGCAAGGTGTGTCCCTGCAACAGCCATGGCAACACGAGCCCAGACGTGTCAGGGAAGTGTGATGATGATATTAGGAAGAAATTAATCAGGGAGTCATGCAAAAATTTAAGTTAAAAGGGACACCTGGAGGTGCCTAGCCCCCCCTCCTGCTCCAAGTATGGCTAACTGCAAGGCCATGTCCCACTGAGCTTTGAAAGCCTTCAAGAGTGGAGATACCACCAGCACTCTGGGTCCTCATCCCAGGGCTGCACCACTCTCCTTGGGAAGGTATTTTTTCTTCTGTCTGATAAGGATTTTCCTGGTTGCATCTTGTGTCCTATGCTTCATTTTTCACTCTTGACCTCTGAGAAGAGCCTGGACTGATGCTCTCTGTAACCTCTCTTTAAGCAGCAGAAGAATGCAATTAGATTCCTCCTCAGCCCTTTCTTCTCAGGGCTTAAAAACTCCATTTTCCTCAGCCCTTTCTAGTAAGCCACAAGCTTCAGCCCCTTGGCTATCTTAGTGACCTTCTGCTGCACTCTTTTATATCAGTCCAAGAAACTTTTAAAACTTATCTTGAGATAAAATGTGCTCAGATTCAGTCCTCAGACTCCATGTGTCCTGGTCCACAGCCTTTTGACCCCAAGCAAGCCCTGTTGGAGCCTTTAGTAGTTCAAAAGAAGAACATTGCTCCAGGTTATAAAAAAAGATTTTAAGGAGGGCCATAGCTACAACGAAGCTGAAGCAGTAGCCGTGCTATTTGTGCAATGTGCAGTTCCATGGGCAGGGCACTCATCTGGGGTTTTCTCTCTGCCTGATGCTAAACAGGGATCTGTAACACAGCACCTTCATCCCAGAGGTAAAGGACTTTTTGGGCTGTTGAAGCTGTCCCACTTTCCTAAAATGGTTCTTACTCACAGCTGGAGACTCTTTTACTCTGTGTCCAAAAAACTGTTCTATGAGTCAAGAGATATTGAGTCAAATCCTTGCTTTGAACCAGCAGAAATCAAGTTTCCACCATCCCAGCTGGTGCCCTCTCTGCTGGGACACAGACCAGAAGGACATCTGCTCTCTCAAGGATGTGTGAACAATGTCTACATCCTCTTAGGAGTCCAACTTAGAAACATTTCTCTGCCTAATATTTGCAAATTAGAATCGTGAATAATCTCAGGTTGACTGAAAATGCCTTTTTTTTTTTTTTTCTTTCCCCTTGGTGCGTGAACTTTTTGCTGGAGAAGGTTCAGCCAGCTCTACCTCTGCCCTGCTTGGGTATGAGTGATGCTGTTAGCAGCAAAATGTCATGAAAAGCTCACAGGGAAATGTCAGGAAAGCAGCAGGGGGTAGAAGCAGATTAGAGTTGCCAGCTGGAGTGTGTTCACAGACAGAGAGATCAGACCTCTCACAAATAACCAGTCCATGCCCAGCGCTCCAGATGCTGTCTGAGAAAAACTGTCTGACAACTGAAATTGCTGGAGCAAAAACACCTTCTCTTTCTATCCCCCACCCCTCACCCAGGTGTGATTTCATCCACATGCAGCTTCATGTCAGCAGTTAGCACAGACAGAGAGAGGAACCTCTGCTCTCTCGTCCTGGGATGGTGCTCCAAGGAGGAGCAGAGTGGAAGAAGATGTTTATTTCATGGGCTTCGTTTTCCCAGGGGAGATCATAACAAGCGGCATGCAGGCAGAAGGAAACTTGTGCCAGGCTGACTGTTCAATCACAACCTGGGTACCTTGCCTGCCTTACCAAGGACCACCTAAACAGTGGGCATCCAGCCCAAGAGCATCATGCTGGCTCTCCCTGCAGTCGGTGATCAGAGCTGGGTATCTCTCCCACTCTCACATCTGTCTCTCCCCTGACTACAGAGGAAGCCTGAATAATTTGGCAAAAGAGGTAAAAGCTGAACAAAGCTTTTCCAATGACTAAAATAGCACAGAATTATTCCCCTCCTACAAGGACAAGTTTGTGGGTGTTGCACAGACAGAGGATGATGCGGGATTTTGGTTTTGATCATGAGGGCCAAGAAAAGTCATCTCAGGGAGCCGAGCCAAGACTATTCTCTGTCTATTCCTCTCAGAAAAAATTAGCTATCCCTTGGCAAAGAGACAGCTACTTTACATGGCATCTAACCTGTTTTTTTAGGATACCTAGAACTTGCTGCGGATATCCTGCATGCTTTTAAGCTCAAACTTTACCACTAATTAAGCATGGATTTTAATTGGTCTGTAGAACACCTATGAACAAAGAGAAGAAAGTAGGAGCAATGCCAATGAATAAAATGTTGATAATTTTCTTTGTAGCTGAACAAATACCAGAGCTGACAGGAACTTTAAACCAGAAACTTGAAATAATTGTGTGCTATGTGCTGTAACAAAAAGGTTTGACATGTCCAATCATTTGATTTACCTCTACCCAGCCCTCTCCCACCTGCAGTGAGAAACATTCTCTGCAGGGACCTACACCCCACTAACACCAAAATACATAGGTCCTGGAATTCATCTTTAAAGGCTTGACCACAGTTTTTTACCATTCTCTTGCAAGTCATTAGTCTTTGCTTAGAAGCAGAGCCTTCTGACTCTAAAACAAAAAGACTTTGCTCTGTTGCAAAGAGTAACAGTCAGCTTCAGCTATATAATGAATTGTCTCAGATTTTCTTAATCTCCTTTATATAAAGGGAAAAGTACTGGATAAAGACTGAGTCTCACATTCAGGATTATTTGTGATGTTTGAATGCAATGTAATTAGTGCTTCATTAAGGCAGCTTCTTATCTCCCTAGCTTTGACAGCACAAAGTAACATTAAAATTCTGAGGGAAGCAACTGCAGAATTCAACGGTCTCATAATTTCTGTTATTTCACTCAGACAGCTTTCATCCTTTCTTATATCTAGCTTTTCAACTTCATATATAAGACACTGGACAGAAGGTGAAATCATCATGTGGACTGAGGAACCAGATATCCCAGGAGAAGGTTTTCAAAGTAAGTGTTTAGAAAGCTTCCAAACTAGAAGTCACTGTTTATTTTCTATTAGGAGGGTGTTGAGCCCCTGGCCCAGGTTGCCCAGAGAGGTGGTCGCTGCCCCATCCCTGGAACCATCCCAGGTGAGGTTGGATGGAGCTCTGAGCAACCTGCTCTAGCTGCAGATGTCCCTGCTCCCTGCAGGGGGGTGGACCTGATGACCTTGAAAGGTCCCTTCCAGCCCAAAACATTCTATGGTTCTATAGACCTGTTCTCTGATTTTTCAGAAACACAGAGCAGTGTCATGTTAGCTTGATGTGGGACAACATGAGATTCATCATTAAGTCAGAGGAAAATACCCAAACTCTATGTCTCTTCCAGCAGTGGTGAGACCAGAAAGTGTTGCTCAGGTTTGGAGGATTTTTGGTATGTGTTTCTGTGCATAGCAATAATCAATAATATTCATCCTGGCCCAACACCTCACCAATCAAATATTGTTTCCCTTAGAGAGCTAGACATCAGTATTTAAGACTTATTGTCCCCTTTGGTGAAGTTTGAATCTTTGGGACCATGTTCACTGCTTTGCTGAGATTCTGAATAAAATTTCAATGTATTTTTTCTGGATTAAAGAAAAAAAATTACTACTTTCCTGCTTGTAAGTGGAATCTTTTTGCTGTGTACAGCATCATTGATAATTCACACATTTTAATTGGACTTCATGCAATCTTATTTCTGGTAAACTAAAAGCAGTACAAATGATAACCTTATATGCAGCAGTTTACAAAAAGCCCAAAAAGAAGTAAAAAATAATTTACTGTTATTTTAAGAGAACAAGAAAACTGAGAATATCCTGTAGATAAATGAAGCAACAAATGGTTAATTATGGGGTTGATGGCTTAATCTAGCTTCTCATTTCACTGTGCTAGTTAGCAGTAACTGTGAACCATCTGTCTGAGAGTTTAGCACTACCCCCACAAGTATTTCATTATGCAGTTTTAATATGCACTTTTGACAGAAATGGAAATGGGCTCGGATCAGTTTTCATGTCACACCAGGCTACATAATTTTTCAAGGCTGGAATACAAATCAGAGAACACAAATCCTTGCTCCGCTCTTCCAGAGCACTCCTGTCCTCGCTCTCTGCCTGGGAAAGCAAATGCTATGTTTAACTTTGCAGGGAAGGTGGGAAAGAAAACTAATAAACAAAGTTCTTTACGTGTCACTGGAGTTAGAAGTTTCTGTTTCTCCTAGAAAAATAGAGACTACAGGTACAATTTTCAAAAGGTTCCAAAATCCTGGTCTCAAGGAGTCACATGCACGGTTCTCCTGTTACTTCTGTAGAGCTGTAAGACCCACATAGCTTTAAACCCACCAGATGGGTCCCAAGGAGAGTCCTTTTGGTCCATTTCCAAGGCAAAGCCTTGTTTTGGGTGTGACAGTAGAGCAGGCTCAGATATTGGAACCACTACACAGAGCTGGCAACAGGATGGTAGGAAGGTGCTACCTTGCCACTAAAGATGCCACTGGCCCTTGCCTTTGAGCTATGGCTAATTCATGACTGCAAGATCTGGAATGTCTCTGGATGAGTAAGCTTTATTTGATTTCATTTTATATGAATATGATTTATAAAACTCAGGGGAAAGCATCAGGGAAACGGCAAAGGGAGTTTGACCAAGATGACTGAATCAAATCAGAGAACAGATAGAGTTATTCCTTAGGCACAGAGAGAAAAATTGTGTGTCTGAGGCATCTATTCAGAAGATATATGCTGGAGGTCTAATGCTTTGGAAAGCTGCAGAAGAGATGCTAAGGAAAAAGAAGTGGCAATGCTCAAGTAAACAAGGTAGTGCACAGCAGAAAAGCTTCTGAGCCCATGCTAATGGAGGTGAGGAGCAGTTCATCACTCCACTGGAAACTGATGGCCACCTAGGACCAATGTTTAGAAATACATTATTTATGGGAAGAAGCAGGACAGGCTCAGGCTAGTCAAAAAATTATAAAGGACCAAATAAAGGAAATCTTGCACTAATCTTACTGACCATAGGTTAAGCTATTGGGTCTTAACCTATTCTCATTAAAAAATTGAAGATAGAGAAATCCATTAGAGTCTCTACTGCAGGAAAAGCATGCTTAATAAACATGACAGAGACGTGCTCTTCCCCTAATGACATCTGATGATGAGGACTCAGCAGATCTCTCCATCTCTGTCTTAGAAATGTAATTACTGGACCCACAACAAGCAAATGACATTTAACTACCCAAATATGAGTGGTCTGTGCAAGGAGCTGCTGGTTTGGTAGAGAAAATAAAGGCAAGCAAAGTGCTTCCATGAAAGATAGGACCCCAGAATAAAACAGGATCAACAGAAGTGGTGGGAGACATTTTTTATGCCCTGAAGAGAAGGACTTGGGGGTGTTGATTGACAAGAAGCTCAACACGAGCCGGTGGTGTGCTCATGCAGCCTGGAATACCAACTGGATCCTGGGGTGCATCAAAAAGAGTGTGGCCAGCAGGTCAAGGGAGGTGATTCTCCCCCTTTACTCTGCTCTTGTGAGACCCCACCTTGAACACTGAGTCCAGTTCTGGTGTCCTCACCATAAAAGGGACATGGATCTGCTGGAACAAGTCCAGAGGAGGCCACAAAGATGATCCAAGGGCTGGAGCATCTCTGCTGTGAGAATAGGCTGAGGGCACCGGGATAGCTGTCCCTGCCTGGCAGAGGGGGTCCAGAGCAGGGCAGGGATCTGCAGGAGCTGAGGGCACATCCCAAGGACCAGAAAATATTGCATGTGTTTTGAGTGGCAAGCCAAGGCTTTTTTTTTTCAGGGAGGAACAGTGAGCTCTAACAGCAGAGACTGTAGTAAAGCTTAACATCACAGCTTTTACCCTTGCTCTCCTCTTTTTCAGCTCAATTCCTGAAGGAAATAAAACATGAAAAAAATGTGGGAAATTAATAAAAGTGAGTCACTTGCTTCCTTTCTCCTCTTTCCCAAGGGCTGAGAGGCTTCAACACAAGCAGGTTGCACAGAGGTGAAGTTCATTACCCTTTCTAAGAACCAGTGGGGGCGAGTCCCCTTCCCATCCGTCCGGATCCTCATCTTCCTGAGGGGTGCAATATCAGCGATCTCCATAATGAAGCTGTCCTCTTGGCCTCGCTCAAACCTGGAGGGATTGAAGGAGCAAAGAGGTTTCCCACTGCTTTACAACGTCGTTGAGCCTCGATCCTCTTTCCTTCCTGCGACTCGCACCTTGCTCAAAGTCTCAAATGAAAAGTTTATGACTGAAGTTCACTGGACTTGAGCTTTCCTGTCCTGCAATCACCAGCTACTCTGTTTTTGTCAAGACACCTCAGTGCAAACTCCTCCTCCCCTGGAAAATCAAGCCCATATGAGGCACCTGGAGTTGCTCCAGGTGGCCTGTAACATACGTTATCAATCCATTTGTAACCAGAGCAATAGAGACTCCCAGTCAGCTTTCTGCACATCACCTTCTTCCTGGCATCTGCAAACCTGCCTGCCCTTAGCCCATCCCAACTAGAAGGCAAAGCAACTTTGCTTAATCTTCTTTCTCTAAGACTCAGCACATAACTTTGTTCGTGGTGTGGCAATAAACAGTGGCTCCTGCTCAACTAAATAGGGCAACCTGATGGCAAGTTGGAGCCCAATGCCTAAGTTTAGTAAAAGCAGGTGAATTGTGCTTGAAAGGAGACAAACCCAACTGTCCCTCACTCGTCTCCTGAATTTGGGGAATTTGATTTGCAAATTAGCTTCATTTTTGATAAGAATCAGAGCGGGTTTTTCTTTACTCAACATGAGGAAGAACTTCTTTAC